GGTGGTAATCCAAAACTGATTACTCCCGATCGCAATCGACGAACGCATTCAGACCAAAACAAACAAACTTTACATTCTATGGCCTAGGCCTCCGGTGTCTAGGCCTATGTTGCCTGACCTCAGCCAAACAGTGCCTGTGGAATTCGTTGCGATCGGATTCCGTGGTAATCGGGGGTAATAAAAATTGTAGCACCCAATCTCAACGGGTAACAATTGCGATATCGATTATATATCGACTACTATTGGTGAGCTTTCACACACGATTTTACTTTGCGATTGGGTGTCGCAATTGCTACAACCGATCGCAATGCGATGCTGGTCTGAATGGGGTATTATACCGCCGTCACGCTCCCTAGATTTGCTAATTGAGTATTCATTCCTGATGATGACATAATTAATGTCGAAATATTGAATCCCAACACGATGGCGTGCATTTCGAGTATTCATGATATTTAAATAAATGTTCCTCGTGGCTGGTGGATTTAGTCTTTGCCAGGCTGTTAGAGCAGTTAGTCGGCGCGCCCTCATGGACGGTTTTATTCCATAGTATCCAAATTATTGCATGTGTCTTCAATACCGTATTTATTCGATTATACGTCAGAAGAGTTTTGAAGGGGCGGTTATTATTTTGTGTGTAAAATGGACGGTACGTACTCAAATAAACGCCCCTTAATTTCACTGTAAATATGGAACTAAACTCAAAATGTGATTGCGTGTCATCATAAAGACTTACTGATCCCAACAACCAGGTTAGAAATAATGATATTCTACTGAAGTAGAACATTTATAGCCTGTGTTGGGATTGATTTTGCTTCATTATATTTGTTTATAGATATTTAGGGGGCCTATTCAAGGAAAAAATATTTGAGGGAGGCGTTTATTCTAAATGAGGTTTCAGAGGGAGCGTTTATTGAAGGCGGGTGTTTATTCGAATGAATTTAATTAAATATTACATTTCTTACAGCATCTTTTTTGACATCCAAACTTGCAAAATAGGAAACTGATTTTAACTTCGGTTCAGTGATATAATGCGTTTTAAATATCTAATTATATAGACCCGAGCTTTGACCACTAGGGGCATATCGTCGTAGCTCTATCATATTAAATTTTTTCTAACACCATCTTAAGCAAAACATCTTAAAGACAGGCTCTGGAGAAAATATTTTGTTTGATATGTTGTACAATTGCTTTTTCTAAGACACAAAAAGACATATTTAACGAAAAACTTTAACGTGCGACTTCTCCGCCTCGACTGCTTTGTTGATTGCCTCAATAAACGTTCTCCAATTACTTACCGGTACTCGGTAGTTTGCACGCTCTCGTATGTTTACCAGATCCTTTATCGACTGTAGGCTTGTTGGGTGGCCAGTTGCTGAATTCACCTTTTTAAGCATCTTCATGTCATTATTAAGAGTGATTGGTAAAGTTGTAATAGGTCTGCCTTTATATTTTTGGAATTCACATTTTTTTAAATTATAGTCGATTGCGATATTTGCTGGTGTATGGGGAGTTGACGAAGTATATGACCCAGAAGTTTCCGTCTTTATTCCAAAATTTCTAGTGACAATGGTCGTGAGTTGCAGCGTTTGTACAGGTTGATATTCGTAATTTATTGGGATATTTTTTGCCTATTATTTTTCTTAGTTGTTTCCTATAAAAAGTGTTTTTTTCTTCATCCCTAGTCGTGCCCCATGTACTGCAGTTGTATAAAAGAATTGGTTTCACTTGTGTCCCGTATAGTTTTAGTCTGACAGATTCCCTAATGTTGTATTTGCGGATCAATACTTTCTTCATTTTTGTCATCGCGACTGTTTCCAGTTGTTTCCTTCGTTTTATGTCCTCCTTGTTTCCCAACAATGATCCAAGTTTTCTTGTATTTTTCCAATCATCTTTCCCTCTCATTATTGTCGTGTATTCCGTTTTCTCTTTATTTACTTTCAGGTTGAATTTAATTAGACGATTTTCGATGTCATTGACGTTATTTCTTTTCTTAATAGAGATTAAGTCGACGTCATCCGTGGCGTACACTAATTCGCGTGGTATCCTCTGCTTGTGTTCTTGGCTAAAAAGAATATTTCTGAGTCAACGCATGGCGTGATCGATGTAGATTGTAAATAAAACTGAACTCAGGCTGTCCTCTTGTGGTGTACTTATATGACTTATAAATTTTGCATTTTTTGTTGCACCATTTATCTTCAGATCAAGCCCTATTTGACTTAGTAAGAAGTGAATCATGCGGGCTTCATCCTTATTTACAATTTTTGTGTACAATGTAATTCTGTACGATTAATAGTGTCAAATGCACTCGATTATTCAATTCCAGTTATATTGATTTCCATTTTTGAATTTAAGGCTTTGGCAATCAGCCATCTATGGGTAAACACATGTTGCTGGTGTTGTCACATAGCCACTTTGGCTATGTGGTAGATAATTGTCAACTTTACTCTTTATTCTTTCTAAAGTGATTAGTGACACGCATTTCCTAATGGTGTTGAGTAAAATTACTGACCTCAGGTCCCTTTTCCTGTCCCGGTTTTTCCGCTTCCCAGTTATTCGTCAAATATGCATTTTGTGTCAATCAGTATTTGTACAATATCAAAATTTGTTTTTCTAAGGAGCCTGGCGTTAAGCATCATATTGGTCTCTGTTATTTAAGCAGTACACCAGAAAATTATAAACAATGCTGTTCAACTACGCACGCAAAGAAAAGGAGTACGGTATAATTTTCCACAATCTACATCTAACTAAAATTTAAAAAAAACCTATCAGTTTTACTTATCCCTACATTTTTAGGATAAAATGAATGATACGTTACATCTACCATTCAATGATTACAAAAATTGAAACAGTTCGCATATAGGCCTATCACTGGGGTTTCTAAGACAAAAATAAATACGCACCGTACAGAAATCAATTTGTGAACCTTTTAATAAAATGTTACATAAGATACAATAAGATGCCCAAAAACACGAAATACGTGCAAAGGAACTCAGGCACCAATTAACTAATAAATAAATTATTGGATAAACAACCTGAGAAAAATTTAAAGAGAAAAGAGTTTTTGAATAAAATGTACTTATTTATGATTTCTGCTTGAAAACATGTGCATTAGCACGAGATTCGTGTAGTTAATTTTATTACCATTATAAACCAAATACCCCGTCAGAACAGTATTATGGTCACAGAGATAATCTTTAATCCAATGGATTTATTATTATGGATAATGTTACTCATCTTTAATCCGAGCAATTAAAGAAGCATTTTTATACGTTTTTCGTCATTCAAACCAGCAGAGTATGATGACACTTGCTAATCTCATGTTTTCGTCAATGGACCTTTCCGAAGTTCAAACTAGCGACTGACCAATCAGAGTAGGACCAGTAACACGCGCGTATCTAACAAGCACACGTGTTGTCCAACAAACGCAGGTGTTTAACATTTGGATATTTTTAACACTGTTTTGCGAGACCTTAGCAACAATTTCTAAGAGGTGGGGCTAAGCGGAAAGGTCTATTTACAATGAACGAAAAAATAACATTTCCACTTTCTTTAATTTGAACTACTGCTGTAATATTAGGTTATATATTGTGATGTGGATTTGGATTGGATTTATTTTGAAATTCTCAACGTAAAACAGGTACAAAATCAGATAAAGATAAATAATAACAACATAATAGAGAATTGTAAAATTATCAAATGTAAAAAATATTTTTTATAAATTCCTCCGGAGCTTGGCTTTAAAACATTTCCCGCTTAGCAGTAATTGTCTATCTGAACATTGATCTAAATGATGTTCAACTGTTTCTTGCCACAATTTCATATACTACAACACAATATAGAAAGGTCAATTCTCGATTATGAAAACCCCTCGCTAAGGGACAACTATGGCAGAGTTTAAATGTGTCTGAAATTAAAATGTTTACTGAAAGTTTCTACTGAATTACCCAGAGTGCACGACAGAGAGTTCCCCTCCGGTTGTTGATATTATTGTGATGATGATTATTGTTATGCTTATGGCTATTATATTATCATGAGGATGAATATTAGGCTTATTATGATTATTGTGAAAATGTTGATGATTATTCGGGAATACTATAGATTTCCTAGCAGTAGCAGGGAAAGCCATTGCTTTTGTTATGATTTTGTTTCTTCCTCACGTGTTTAGTAACTTTCCATGCTTGGATCTTTTCCAAACTTTGTCCAAACACAGACAGTATACCGAAGATGTGCCGCGTAGAATTTAGTGACAATTAGATTTAAAAGATATGATATGAGAACCAATTAAAGAACTACTTACACCCCATACCGCATATATTTTATCAACTGATCTTAATGAAACTTTCGGGAAAGTTTAACCAAGTTACAGAAAAGAAAGTATTGAATGCTTTGTAGGGTAGTGTGTGGATATGAGGACCATTCAAATAAAAACGTCCGAGACCATAAACACCAAAAACTGATCCGCTGATCTGAATGAACTTTTTAGGAAATTTTAACTAAGTTACAAGGATGAAAT